AAGAAACAAAAACGGCCCATGAAATCGCCAAAACACCATTTAGCTCGAGCCCTGCCTTGGATCCCTTCCTATGCTTTCGGCGGCGAGCGAGGGGGGGAAGTGAGAAGGAGAAGGCCCTCTCAGAAGGCGGTGGGATTTCTCAGACCTCGCGCCTTCTGAGAGGTTCTCTGTGTCGTCGGGGAAGGCTTGGGAAGCTTCTCAGGAGGCCGGGGGCCTTCCGAGCCTTCTGAGAAGGCCTTCTCCTCCTCGCTTCCTCCCCGCGCTCGCCGCCGATCCTTGGGACCCTGTCCATCAGGTCCCCATCTTTTCGGGAGCGGCCACGAGGGGGGCGTCCAAGAGGGGGAGGCGCAAATCATAGCCGGCGACATGTGCGCGGCCCAAAGGGGGGGGCCCAGGGACGTAATGAAATAAGAAGAGGCGCCATGAAATCTGGCGAAATATCATGGCCCACGCCATGATATCCACCCCCCCTAGTCATCACCCCCCTCATTGCCGCCCCCGATCAGGTCCCCATCCTTGAGCCACCGACATGTAGGCCTCGACCACGCCGGTCGCCTTCACCGCGGCCGGCGACGGGGGCGCCCGCGTGCGCTTGCGCCTGCTGGCGCGCCGCTCCAGCGCGCGCGCCCTGCTGGCCTGTCTGCGCCCAGCGAGCAGGGTGCTCACCGCACCCGTGGCGTTGGAGGCGTTGCTGGCCGCCGTGGCGTTGTCCGCGGCCTGGGCCTCCTCCAGCACTTCCAGGGCCTCGTCGATGGCGGCGACCTCCTGCTCCCGAGTCATGTTCCGGATCTTGTACTCGCCCTCCAGGGTGGTGCAGTGCTGTTGGATGGTGGTGAGGTGCTTCAGATCCGCAGAGTACGAGGCCCGCACGTACGAGAGGTCCTCCTTCGCTTCTGCGTGCACCTTGGTGTAGTGGGCCAGCTGCTGCCGCTTGCTGGTGATGCTGGCCTGGACCGCCTCCACCTGGCCCAGCTTCGTCTCCTGGAGCTCCACAAAGTCCGTCTTGCGCTGGTCCTCGGAAGACGCCGACTCCACACCGACGCCGCAGCTGGCCAGGCCTGACCCCCAGGCCTGCGGACTCTTGCAGGGCCAGCTCTGGACCGAGCCTGGAAGCCACTCTCTCTCTCTCTCTCAACCCCGACCCGCCGAGCAGAGCGTGCCTGGCCAGCTGCGGTGCCGATGTGGCCCCCGTACCCTGCCGTCCGCCGCTATGCTGCCTCGCATCCGCGGCCCCGGGAGGTCCCAACCGCTTCCGCACCTTTGTCACGTCTCGCCCAGAGCCCGCCTGTAGGGGGACATGCCCGACCTCATCCTTGCGCGGTATCGGGTCCGCTCCGGAGGCCGTCGCGGCCATCGGGGCCGCCACGACTCGGGGCCAGGGCTCTCGCCAAGGGAGGCCCCGACGCGGGGCCCCGGAGAGGCCGGAGCCGAGGGCAGAGACGCCGACTCGGCCGCCAGAGGCGCCGCAAGAGAGAGCTGGCCAGCGCCCCCCCCCCGAGCCCCAAGGGAGGTCCTCCTGCGCCTGGGCCGCCTGGAGGTCCGCCCGGAAGCTCTGCAGCAGCTGCTGCAGGATGCCGAAGATGGAGGCGCCCTCCGGGCTGCCGGCGGCCGCGCCCCGGCGGCCCGAGAGCACCGCCGCCGCGGCCTCGTCGGGGCGGCACCGGCGGTTGCTGAGCTCTCGCCGCCAGTTCCGCTCTCGACGAGGAGAAAACACAAACAAACAAAAACAAAAAAAAGCATTGCCAAAAAGAGTCGACAGATCCTCCCCAGACGATGTCTGACTATTTTGGAACCTTCCTCCTGCATGAGTATCGTTTAACCGATCCCCATCCCCAGCGGCGTGGCCCAGGCCCCACTGGCCGATTTACCTCCGCAGATGGGGACATGGGTCGTTCCCTTCGGGTTTCGAGGGGTGCATCCCCAACTGGGGTGGTAATTTGGTGGGGGTCTCGAAGGGGGCGGGGATGGGGATGGGGATCGGTTAAACGATACCGATCACATTACTCTGGTTGACCCAAAAGGGCGTCCAGCTGAAATGGGGTGGTGCAATAGGTTTGGGGCAATTGTGCTGTAAATGCACTGCGCCAGAAAACCGTATCGATTTGTATTGCAGCGAATGTATTGCACGCGAAAGCCCAGCAATTCACTTGCGCGCCGGAATGTATTGCACAGGCCAAATCGATTGCAACACCACAAACCTATCGCACCAAATCAACTGCACCACCCCTTGTCGCTGGACCCATCTCGGGTCAACTAGAATTCTTGACGGCGCGCAGAGGGGGGTATGTGGAAGAGGGGAAGGCTTCTCAGAAGCAGGGTGCTTCTAAGAAGCCGTCCCCCCTCCCCCATGCCCCCCTTCTGCGCGTGGCCGGCATTAGCGGGCGAAGCCCAAGAGGCCCCCAAGAGCCACCCCAGAGGCCCCCAAGAAAGCCCCAAGAGCACCCCCAGAGGCCAAAGCGTCGTCGTCGGCGTCGCCGCCGCCGCCGTCGTCGTCGTCGTCGTCATCGTCGTCCCCCTTCACGGTCGGCGGCTCCAGCTGTAAGGCCTTCGCATTCAACTTGTCTGCGATCGAGGACTCCTGTCCAAGGGCAGCTGGAAAGTCTATGGCCCTACGGTGACGGGCTGGATTGTCAACTTTCCAGCTGCCCTGGGACAGGCGCCGCCGATGGCGAAAAAGTTTATGTTGTGCTGCTCCCCGCCCGCTACTTACAAACTCCTCCTACCCCTCCTTGAGCTCCTGCCAACTGTCGGGAGCTTTTGCTCAGCGTGTCGCGGAGGCGGCCCCTGCGATGGGCCATGTCCTGCGAGCGGATGGCGCGCGCGCGGCTCCGCCTCGCGAGGCGGGAGGCTGAGAGAAGCTCGTGACGTCGATCCTTGGGGACCTGGACATGGCTAGCACGTCGCGCCGATGCGTGGTGAACCAAAACCAGTGAGTAGCGCGTCTCTGCGCGACGCGCTAAACGAACATTCCTGACCGTACAACTCCTCCTACCCCTTCTCCCTCCTGCTTCCCCTTCTCCCTCCTGCTTGAACCCCCTATCCTCGTCATCCTGCTCCTGCTCCTGCCCCCATTGATGGTCCTACTCGTTCGCTTCTTGGTCCTGCTCCGCCTATCTTCTTCTGTTGTTGCTCTTCCCCTTCCGCTTCCGCTCCTCGGGTTCATCGTCCTCCTCGACCCCTTGGGCGTTGCGGTGTGGTGTATTGTGTGTCGCGCCTCATCCTCATCATCCTCCCTCTTCACCTCCTCCTCCTCTCCCTCCGCCTCCTCCTCCTCCTCCTCCTCCTCCTCCTCCTCCTCCTCCTCATCATCATCATCATCCTCATCCTCATCATCATCATCTCCCTCATCGTCATCCTCATCATCATCCCCATCCTCATCCTCATCCTCATCCTCCTCCTCCAACTCCTCCTCCTTCTCCTCCTCCTCCTCCTCATCATCATCATCATCATCAGCATCCTCATCCTCATCCTCAGCCTCATCATCGGCATCATCATCATCATCATCATCATCATCATCATCATCATCATCATCATCATCATCATCATCATCATCATCATCATCAGCCTCCGCCTCCGCCTCCGCCTCCGCCTCCGCCACCGCCTCCATCCTCCTCCTCCTCCTCCTCCTCCTCCTCCTCCTCATCATCATCATCATCATCATCATCATCACCATCATCATCATCATCATCATCATCATCATCATCATCATCATCATCATCATAATCGTCATCCTCATCATCATCCACATCCTCATCATCATCCTCATCCTCCTCCTCCAACTCCTCCTCATCATCATCAACAGCAGCATCATCATCCGCATCCTCAGCCTCATCATCAGCATCATCGTCATCATCAGCAGCATCAGCATCATCATCCTCATCATCGTCATCGTCATCATCGTCAGCATCATCATCATCGTCACCATCATCAGCAGCATCAGCATCGTCATCATCATCAGCATAATCATAATAATCAGCATCATCATCATCATCATCAGCAGCAGCATCATCATCATCGTCGTCATCAGCATCATCCTTATCATCATCACCATCATCATCATCATCATCAGCAGCATCATCGTCACCATCATCAGCATCATCAGCAGCAGCAGGACCAGCAGAAGCATCATCATCAGCATCATCAGCGTCATCATCGTCAGCAGCATCATCACCAGCATCATCATCATCAACATCATCAGTATCATCACAAGTATCAACATCATCATCAGCAGCAGCGCTCTCATCGTCATTATCATCAGCATCATGATCATCAGCATCAGCATCAGCAGCATAGTCATCATCATCAGCATGAGCATCACCATCATCATCATCATCAGCATCATCCTCATCAGCATCGTCAAAGTCATCATAATCAGCATCATAGTCAGCATCGTCGTCATCAGAATCAGCATCATCCTCAGCATCGCCATCATCACCACAACCGCCATCATCATCATCATCAGCATCAGCATCATCATCATCACCATCATCATCAGCAGCAGCGTCAAGATCAGTAGCATCACAATCATCAGCAGCAGCATCAGCATCAGCATCATCAGCATCAGCATCTGCATCAGCATCTGCATCAGCATCTGCATCAGCATCATCATCATCACCACAATCCGCATCATCACCACCTTCATCATCATCAGCAGTATCATCCTCAGCATCATCATCTTCATCATCCTCATCCTCCTCGTCTCATCATCCTCATCATCCTCCATCCTCCCCCTACTCATCATCATCACCTCTTCCCCTGCCACCGCATCCGCATCCTCCTCACCCTCCTCATCAACCCATAATCGTTATCCACTTCCTTCTCCTGCTCATCCTGCTCCTTCTCAACCTCGTCATCCCTCTCATCAAGATCCTCCTTCTCCCCCCCATCCGTCGACCCCGTCATCCTTATCGTCCTCCTCTCAACTATCGGAAAGCAGAGGGGTGCAGTTACCCCAGCTGCTCGAAGCGCCAGCGTGGAGCGCTGAAGAAGCCTCCTCCATACCCGCCACCTCATACTCCTCTTTCTCCTCCTCATCCTCCTCCTCCTCCTCCTCCTCCTCCTCCTCCTCCTCCTCCTCCTCCTCCTCCCCTCTTCCTCCTCCTCCCCCTCCTCCTCATCCTCCTTCTCCACGTCCTCTCGTCCTCCTCCACATCCTCCGCCTCCTCCTCCTCGTCCTCCTCCTCCTCCTCCTCCTCCTCCCCATCCTACGCCTCGTCCTCTCCTCCTCCTCCTCCTCCTCCTCCTCCTCTCCTCCTCCTCCTCCTCCTCCTCTCCTCCTCCTCCTCCTCCTCCTCCTCTCCTCTCCTCCTCCTCCTCCTCCTCCTCCTCCTTCCCTCCTCCTTCCCCTCCTCCTCCTCCTCCTCCTCCTCCTCCTCCTCCTCCTCCTCCTCCCCCCCTCCTCCTCCTCCTCCTCCTCCCCCTCCTCCTCCATCTCTTCCTCCACCTCTCTGATGAATAGCTCCGCCTGTCGCACCACCACACGCGTGGCTGGGCGCTTCGCCTTAGAGTTCCTCACTGCGTACGATATCTGCAGCTACAAGAAGAGAGGGCCGATGGTTTTCACGATTTGGTTATCGTCTTGGCGCTGCGCACATTCGCCTTCAAAGTCCCAACCATTTGTAAAGATGGGGGCTGGTTCGTTCTCAAAGTTTGATCTCGCTTGGACTTCATATGACTCGAAGTTATGGCTACATAGATATAGGGCGGCTCTTATTTCCTGGGGCTTTCGCTGTAGACTTCCGCAACCCGGCAGCTCCTTCGCAAAAACGGGAATGCAGCTGGACACCTTCTGAACTTGACCATCCTACTTGGTTGCGCTTCCTCTTAGCAGCAAGGATGGACGGTGGATCATTTACAAGACGGACCTCGGATGTGTGGCACACAGACCAAGCGTTCGCCACTCAATGGACGGATAACGTGTTCAGGGACTTTGGATGTGGGGACTTGAGACGGGAGGGTGTATTTTGGGGATCCCAAAACCGTGTGGTGACAGACCATGCGGTGACCTCGAACCCCAAGAGACCTCACCGCACGGTCCGTCACCGCACGGTCTTGCGACCCTGGAGGCCCCTGTCGCCCGAGATATCTTCAAACCGTGCGGTGACCCCGAATCCCCACCGACTCACCACACGGTGTGGTCACCACATAGTCTGGGTGCTCCCGAGTATTACAGCATCGTTGATACATCCTGGGTTTGCTCTGGTCCTCGCCCATCCCACTTTCTTACAGAAAGATCCCCCCTGTCAAACCACCAGACGTGTCCGCATGCTGGGCCAGGCGACTCGCGTGAGAATTTTGTTCGCAGGTTCATCTTGAAGCCAAAAAGAACTCCAACAGTTGCATGTATGGAGGGCTCGCGGTTTTTTTCCCAGTTAGGCTTGCATCAAGGGCTCTTAAAGGTTGGTGCCTCCTATTGTTACTTTGCCCATTCCTCGGAGGTTCCTCGGGTTCCTCGGGTTCCCCGCCCCCGGCGCCTCCTATTGCAGCGTTGCCCGTTTCCCGGAGGTTGCTCGGGTTCCCCGGGTTCCTCGAATTCCCCGGGTTCCCAGGGTTCCCGCAATGCCAAGGAATGCCAAGCAATTCCAAGCCATGCCAAGCAATGCCAACCCGTGCAAAGCAATGCCAAGCAATGCCAGGCAATGCCAAGCAGTGCCAAGCCATGCCAAGCAACGCCAAGCAACGCAAAGCAACGCCAAGCAACGCCAAGCAATGCCAAGCAATGCCAAGCAATGCCAAGCAATGCCAAGCGATGCGCTCAGCGATGCGCCCAGCGATGCGCCCATGCAATAGGCTTTCCCCTAATTACGGTCGCGCCGGGTTCATCAAAATGTGGCTCTCGCCGTAGCGCCGCCCACATTCGTTTTAAGCACATCCATGTTTATAAGAATGGACGGTAGTCGTTTCCAACGTGCGGATCCCCCGTTGGTTCCGCGAACATGTTTCCAGAAGGCTCCCAGCAGCTGCAAGGACGGATGGCGGGTGGTTTTCAAGATGCTGTCCTCGCCACAGCGCCACCCACATTCGTTATAAAAGCTGCCATGTTTACAAGAAGCCCTGTAGCCCTATAGCCCTATAGCCCTATAGCCCTATAGCCTTATAGCCCAATAGCCCGATAGCCCAATAGCCCCATAGCCCTATAGCCCTATAGCCTCATAACCTTATAGTTTTATAGCCCTACAGCCCCATAGCCCCAACAAAAATCTGATTGGGTTTTTTCTCTGGTGTCATAAAAGCTTCCATGTTTATAAGAATGGAGGGCTAGCTTCCAAAATGTGGCTCTCGCCGTCGTTCCGCGAAGATTTGCTTTGAAGGCTTTCAACAGCCACAGGGATGGAGGGCCGGTGGTTTCCACAATGCGGTCCGCGCCCCAGCGCCGCGAACATTCGGTCCAACAATCTCCAGCAACTACAAGGAGTGTCTGTATTTAGTTATCGCCTCAGCGCCGCGCAGAGGTTAAAGGTTGAACAAGGTTAAAAAGGTTCAAAAGCGAAGGTTAAAGCAAAGGTTAAAAAGGTTGGACAAGCAACGTTTCCAATAAGTTGGAAAAGCAAAGGTCAAAAAGGTTGGACAAGCAAAAGTTAAAAAGGTTAAAAAGGTTGGACAAGCAACGTTTCCAAACAGCGGTTTTCGCCCGAGGCTTCCCCAAACTCTTCGGTCCACCTGCACGGACGGAGGACGGCTGCGCTTCGGAAACGGGGCCCTCGCGTGAAGCTTCCACAAATAGTACGAGCAGAACTGGCTGACGTGGGTCAGAGTCCTCAGGAATTCTGTTTGGGGGCACTTCGCAGCGCCCTCGGAGGCCTCTGGGGGGGCAGTCTGGGGGGGGCCTCTTGGAGGCCTCTTGGGAGCCTCCTCCTCCTCCTCCCCCTCCTCCTCCTCCTCCTCCTCCTCCGCCTCCTCCGCCTCCGCCTCCTCCGCCTCCTCCTCCTCCTCCTCCTCCTCCTCCTCCTCCTCCTCCTTCTCCTCCTCCTCCTCCTCCTCCTCCTCCTACGTGGATCCCTCTCCAGAGGGGGGCCAGCGTTGGACACGTCCTTTGGAATTCCATCATCATACACAGTCGGACTCGACTGGACAGGACACGCGAGAGGACACAAGACCCTTCCGAGGGCCGCATTGCCACAGGAGCGCAGGAAGCACGGGTCGCGGGACACAGGACCCAGGGGTACCCCTTGCTTTGGCAGGGTAGACCTACTAACCGGGGCCAACTGTACCCCTTTGCGCGACATTTCACTACAAGGAAGGAGGAGGAGGAGGAGGAGGAGGAGGATGGGGAACTACAAGGATGAAGGGGGAATGTTGCAAAACGGGGCGTCGCCGGAGCGACAGCTACACCAGGGGCTCGGCGTTCCAGGGGGGCCCTCCCCGCAGAGGGCAGGAGAATGCCTGCAGGCACCCACGAGGAGGTGACCGGGAGCGGGGGGATGCGTGGCAGCATCGCTGACGCCTCCTGGGCCTGCTCTGGTCCTCCTCCTTCCTCCTCCTCCTTTCTCACCCCCCCCCTCGCTAGATTTGGCGCTGCGCGGCCCCTCCTCGCCCACTCTCCACGACGACGACGACGACGACGACGACGACGACGACGACGACGACGACCACGACGACGACGACGACGACGACGACGACGACGACCACGACGACCACGACCAACGACCGTCGACAGAAGATCAACGACCGACGACAAACAGCGACGACGATCTCGACGACGACCTCGACCTCGACAACGGCCTCGCGACCTCGGCCTCGGCCTCGACGACAACCTCGACGACGACGACGACATTGACGACGATGACGACGACGACGACGACGACGACGACGACGAAGCCGACGACGACGCAGCCGACGACGACGACGATGAAGCCGATAACGAGGCCGACAGCGAAACCAACGACGAGGCCAACGACAAGGCCGACGACGACGACGAAATCATCATCACCATCATCAGAAGCATCATCATCAGCAACATCAACATCTTCATTGTCATCATCATCATCATAATCATCATCATCATCATCATCATCATCATCATCATCATCATCATCATCATCATCATCATCATCATCATCATCATCATCATCATCATCATCATCATCATCATCATCATCATCATCATCGCCATCATCATCAGCACCATCATCATCAGCACCATCAGTATCATTATCATCATCATCGTCATCATCATCACCATCATCAGCAGCATCATCATCCTCATCCTCATCATCATCATCGCTCGGCATCGCGGCAGTTCATGACCCAAGCCGACAAACGGTGGCGCTAGACACGGCAACGTGGATCTGGGAGGCGCCCTGGGACTGGCAAAAAGAACAGTTCGATCAACACTCGACCATTCAAAAGAGGGAGAAGCCTGCACTCGAGCAAAGTCGGCCATCTGTAAACACACCCAGCGGTACTCCCCCCCTCCCCCGTTGTCGGTTTCCTTTCCTTTCGGGTGCCCATCCCCTGCAGCCACCATCGCAACCATTCCTCCGAATACGCCTGCCAATCATCAAACTGCACGGCGTGGTTCTGCCAGTCGGGCGTCCCAACAAAACTGGTAAAACTATGTTTGAACCCCCCCAAACATGAAAGATATGCTGATGTCCCTGGGATCCAACACTTGCCTCGAGGTGTTTGATATATTGGTAACTATTCTAGGTGAGCGCTTTGAGGGCCAGACGGCTGTTATCATATCCACCCATACGTATCAGATGCCCCGCCCAAGAGAAATTCAGCAACAGAACGTGGTGGTCACAGGGGCGCGATCCGTGTCTGACGACATCGACGACGGCGACGAAGACGACGACGACGACGACAACGACGACGACGACGACAACGACGGCAACAGCGATGACGACGACGACGACGACGACGACGACGACGACGACGACCGACGACGACAAAAACGACTACGAGATCGAGAGCGACGACGGCTACCGACTACGGACAACGGCGGCTGCGGCGGCGACGACGCGTGGCCTGCGCAAGGCTCGGCTGGACGGCTGCGCCGAGGCCCAGGCGGAGGACGTGCATCGGGTCAGGCAGCACTGCCTGGGCGGCGACGGCGGCGGCGACGGCAGCGGCGACGGCGGCGGCAACAATGGCGCGAAGACGGCGACGGCCGCGGCGGCGGCGAAGACGGCAGCGGCGGCGGCGGCAACGGCGGCGGCGACGACGGCGGCGGCGGCGGCGGCGGCGACGAGGACAGGGACGAGGGCGAAGGAGACAGAGCAGGGTGGGGGGGAGCGAAGACGACGAGGAAGAACGAGAAGGGACCCTCAGATCTGACCGTGTGAAAAAGTTGCTACATCGCGGAAAAAACACCACAACAGAAAAACAAACAAACAAAACAAACAAACAAACAAACAAAAAAGACGGCCAGAGCCGCAGATCCCGCTTTCATGCGGTATTTGTCGGCCGGATCGATATGTGAGAAAGGGCCCGGGGCCCGAAACCAAGAAGAACTACTTTCGCTTTGGCGCGGCAGAGGCAATCCGGTCGCGCGCCCTAGTGGCTGGGGCAGAACGCACTAATGCTCGGGCTGCCGGAGACAGAAACGGCACGGAGGGCGGCCGCAGAACAGGAGGGAAGGGGGGAGGGCACTCACAGCACGAAGGTCTTCGGCGTGAGCGGCCAGCGCGGCTGGCCGTTGCTGAGGCGTCCTGGCAGTGAGGGAGCGGCGTCGCGCCGACACCCAAGGGCTGAGGCAAAAGCTGCAGGTGCTGGAGGCGTAGAGCAAGTCGACCGGTGCAGGGGCGACAGGCGAGCGAGTGATGAAGGCACCCAAGTGTTCATGAAAAGGCCATGCTGCCAGGTATTCCAGCGCACAGCGGCTGCGTGGTGCAAGGAGACCAGGACCAAGGGGCTGGCCAGCGAGTCGTTCGCGGCAGCAAAATGCCGCGAGCCTCCAAGCTGATCTGCCGAGGCTGGGCTGCAAGACTGCGGCAGGCCGATGGCTGCGGCACCGCGGAGGGCGGCCACCGAAGGTGGCCGAGGAGTGCAGAAGTGGCGCGGGCGGCAAGGAGCCAAAGCGCGCCGCCAGAGACCGGCAGCGGCGACCAGAGCGGGGGCGGGGGGATGGTGGGCGGCCCAGGCCGGCGCACGCATCACAACCAGGAGTGGCGGGAGCGCCCAACCACAGGTCCGGCAGGGCGAGGGCGCACCCTGGCGCGGGAGCAGCCGGGCGAGCGCAGAGAGCGGCGGCCAGCCGGGCCGAGCGCAAGCAACACGGCCGGCAAGCCACCGAGGCACCGAGGCGCAGGGCCGCGGAACCGGCTAGGCGCGGGCGCCCAGCAGCAAAGGCCGCAAGGGCCACGACCTGGCGAAGCCGAGCAAGCGCCTCCGAGCGCGCAGCGACGGAGGCCGCCGCGGGCGGCGCCGGCGGGGCGCGCGGCTGGCGGGAGCCGGGGCAGGACGCGCCGCCAGAGCAGCGCGCGGCCCCGCCCCGGACCTCCAGGCCCGCCGACGCAGCGGCACTGGCGAAAGCACGGCAATCACGCCACGTGACACCATATCGCTGTCACCCGCACCTGACCGGCGCGCGAATTTTTGCCACAGCACCCACCTGGGGGAGCGGCGCTTTCAGCCGAGACACGCTCGGACGCGGGAGCCCCCCCGGGGGAATGGACGCGCCCCGAGGAGCGGGGGAGGGGGCGCGCCACCCGCGGGGGGGGGGGGCGCGCGAGGGGAGCCACCATGATCGGCGCGCTCACAGGAAGGGACAGGGGGCCCACCTGGGGGGGCGAGCCCTCAGAAAGTCGCCACGAGCGCCCAGGGGAGCTGAAAGGCACGGCTCGTCGGCCGAGCGGACGCCGCCGCGGGGCCGGGCCGGGCGCCCGCGGGGGGCCAGGTCCAGCGCGCGAAGCGCGGCGCCCAGGCCTGCACTCCTCCCGTCGCGCTCTGGCGGAGGCGCCCGCGCCCGTGAGCCCCGCATGCGGGACTGGCCCCCCCGCCGGCACGTTTGCCCCTGCATTTCTCTCCGATGCCTGCCTGCGCCTGCCGCTCTTGCCACTGGCGCCGCACTTCGCCCCCGTCGACGTCGAGGCGCCGCTGCCGACGGCGCGCCCGCACGTCGCAGCGGCAGGCACACAGAGCGGAGATAAACCGCCGGCAGACATCGTCGAAGCCGCCAGGATTATAGCGACCCTTGCCCCGTGCTTCGCCATTTAGCTCGTCGCAGGCTCGGTTCCAGCCTTTCGCAGGCATCGCCCCGCACGTGACCTTGAAGCGATTGATGAGCTCCGGCTGACAAGTTCCAGCCAGATCCCCTGGCGATTCTCTCCTAGGCCCCACTGCGGCAGCAAGCGAACGTCACGCCAGGGCACCCGGTAGAGGCCGTCACACGGGCCACTCAAATCGCGGCGGCGGTGGGGGCGGTCGCTCCCCCAGCCCCGACCTCTCGCAGCTGGGCCGCTGCGCCAATAGGACGAGCGTCTTCAGGTGCTGTCGCGGGAGCCGCCCGTGCCGCCTCTATCCCAGGTGGACCAGTCAGCAGCCTGGAAGTGAACCGAGCGCCAGGTGGTGCTGTCGGGGGAGGATGGCCCGGGTCGCCTGCAGGGACGGACTGGCCAGCGGCGCGCCGCCTGCCCCGGGGGCGCCGCCGCCGCCAGCGTTGGCAGGGCGGTCGTCGCGAGTGATCCAGGCGAGGCGCGCGGAGTCTGCTCCGTCCCAGACCGTGGCCCACTCGACCCCAGTCCTGGCGCCAAGAAACTGCCCCGCTCGGACCTCCCCCACAAGCCCGATCACCGAGCCGGGCTGTACTCTGGGCCAGAATCGCGCCCCCGTCTCGTCAGCCTGCGCGTGCCAACACACAGGGCGAGCGCCATCGTCGCCCCTGGACATTGGGCAGTGACCAGCCATTACGTCGACCGCGAGACCACTGCGCTGATGCGACACGGCGGGCCTGGCGGCGGGGACGAGTCCGAGGCGCCGCTCGCCAACTGTCCTGGCAGACCCTGGCTGGCCCAGGTTGCTGCCAGCGCCCCGCTCATCGCCATCGCCGCCCCCGTCAAGGGAGGGGGCCCCCTCGGTCGGCACCTGCCTGCCCGACTGGAGAGGGGTCGGTCTCGCCCTCGCTTCCTCCTGGAGCCGCGCCACCGGCCCCCCGACCACCAGGGTCTTCCAGAGGAGCGGATCTGACCCGCTGCGCCTGGTCTGCTGCGGGGCCGGCCGCTGCGCCCCTGGTCGGCGCGGGGTCGGGGTCCCGAGTAGCGTCTGTGGCCGCTAGTCCTGGAGGCCCGCCCGCGGCAATCGCCCAGGGAGCGTCGACCGCTTCCCCGACTGGGGTAGGGCGGCGGTAATTGGCGAGCAGAGGAGAGCACAGACTCCCGATGCCCTGGCCGGTCAGGCAGGCTGCCAAGCAATTTGCGCCGTGCCTGGACGGGTCGGTCCCAGGCAGTGCTGCACGGGGCCCAGGGGACAGTCCCCCACGGCGCCCTCAGGTCGCCGTCTCTGCCGCCCTCGCTCTCATTCCTGCCCTCGGCGCGCGTGAGCCAGGCAATGCGGCCTGTCTGCCGCCCCAGAGAAAGGCGCCGAGAACTCCGGCGTCCTGGATGGCACCGCCATCTATCCTGCCCAAGAAAGTAACGCAAGTGCTGCGGTCCCAGCAGCGGATGTCGTTGTTCCCCAATCAGAGGTTGCCCCTGTAGGGGTCCTAGCGGATTAAAGGCTTAGGTGAGGATGGTCGCCGATTTCGGAGGCCGGGCCTGGGTGCCCAAGTGCCCGGGTGCCCGGCGGTGCCCGGGTGCCCAGGTGGCCGGTGAGGTGCGTGGCCGATTTCGGTGGCCGGGCCCGGGTGCCCGGGTGCCCGGGTGCCCGGGGGCCCGGGGGTGCCCGGGTGCCTGGGGGTGCCCAATAGCCCAATAGCCCAATAGCCCACTAGCCCTATAGTCCTATAGCCCTGTAGCCCTATAGCCCTACAGCCGTATAGCCCTGTAGCCCTATAGCCTTATATCCCTATAGCCTTATATCCCTATAGCCTATAGCCCTAGTAGCCTTATATTCCTATAGCTCTATAGCCCCATAGCCCATATAGCTCTATAGCCCCATAGCCCTATAGCCCTATGGCCCTATAGGTCACAGTCCTATAGCCCGATAGACCTATAGCCCTATAGCCCTATAGCCCTAGCCTCCTCGATGCCTGGATGCAGCCGTCTGGCGTGGGCCACCATTACACGCGCGATTGTCTCATCATGGCGGCCGGGCTTGCTGGCTGGGTCAATATAACTAGCGGCTAGCTAGGGCCCGACAGCCAAAAGAGCGGCTTGCCAGCGGTGGGCATCTGGGCGGCGGGAAGGGATCCAGGTCAGCTAGCACTGCCGCAGAGCACGGTGGCGGGTGGCGCCGGGGCCAGGTCAACGCGCTGCTCGTTCTGATGAGGCGGGAACAGGTGTGCCAGCCAGGTAGCGTCGTCCTGCAGGAATCGGCAGCGCTGGAAGGGGCCCGCCTGCTCCGAGTCTCAAAACAGAACCCCTGAGGAGCTCCCCGCTCACCCACATGGGGGTCTTTACAACCCCAGCATGTAGGTCGGGCTCCCCCTGGCCCTACAGCCCAGGACACTAGGTGAGCCAGCATGAATGATTGGCAGGTCCCTTGCCAGGCCCACACGCCTCGATCCAGTTAGCCTGCATCAAACACCACCCCATCTTCCCAGAAAGACAATAGGAACCGCCGCAGGACTGGCTATCAGAGGGACGCAGGAGCCATGTTGCGGCCCTCCAAGTGCCTGCTGCAGAAGCTGGCCCAATGCGGGTTGATGTCTGGCCCCTAGTTGCACCTTATGTAGCCCACCATGTTCTGAGTTCCTGTAGGACACGAGAGGGACTCTCCAGGAGCGGGGGCTGCGAGCTGAGTGGTGGGAGCGTAGGCGGGCGCCGCAGCGGGGGCGCTCCGGGGCGCGCGAGGCTGCCCCGCGGCCAAGCAGCGTCTGGGCGCCCCCATCGAGGTCCTGGGGATCCCAGGGTACGGCTTGAGCCAGGCCGCGGTTAAAAACCAAGCAAAAACGCCCGTGGTGAGAAAAAAATCCAGCACCAGGATCTCAAAGGAAGACGACAAAGGACGAGGAGTGCCCAGACCCCCGACGTAGTGACGCTGTGGCCCCAGGAGGTCTGGACCCCTTCCCCAGGACCAGTTTTCCATCCTGAGTCGGCTTTTGGCGGTCCCGAGGCCCGGAAGGGCCCCCAGGGGCAGAAAACAGCGAAAAACCCCCCGTCGTGATTCTTTCACAACGCGAGGAGGTCTGGGCAAGGAGGACGAGAGCACGACTAGGGACGACCCCGCAAGCCTGGCCGGCAGCACCGGCGCCCCGCAGCGGCGCTGGCGCAGCAGCGCCCGGCGCCGACTGCAGCGCCCTCCGGACGAGGCCGGCCACGAGCAGCAGGCTGGAGTTGGGGCTGGGAGAGCGTGGTCGGCCAGGCAAGGCCCCGGGGGGGCCACGGGCGCACCGATACCAGGAATAGGGTGCGGCCTCGTCGTCGGCCTCAGCCTCGTCGTCGTCGTCGTCGTCGTCGTCGTCGTCGTTCGTCGTCGTCGTCGGCCTCGTCGTTGGCCTCGGCCTCGTCGTCGTCGTCGTCGGCCTCCTCGTTAGCCTCGGCCTCGTCGTCGTCGTCGGCCTCGTCGACGGCCTCGTCCTCTGCCTCGTCGTCGGCCTCGTCGTCGGCACCAGCCTCGTCGTCGTTGTCGTGCGTTTGTTTCGTCGTCGTCGCCCTCGTAGTCGGCCTCGTCGTCGGCCTCGTCGTCGGCCACGTCGTCGGCCTCCGCCTCGTCGTCGTTCGTCGTCGTGGTCGGTCTCGGGGTCGGCATCGTCGTCGTCGTCGTCGTCCTCGGCATCGTCGTCGTCGTCGGCCTCGTCGTCATCGTCGTCGGCGTCGTCATCGTCCTTGACGTCGTCGTCGGCGGCGGCGACGGCATTGTCTTCGTCGTCATTGTCGTCGTCGTCGGCCTCGTCGTCGGCCTCGTCGTCGGCCTCGTCGACGTCCTCGTCGTCGCCGTCGTCGGCCTCGTCGTGGGCCTCGGCCTCGTCGTCGTCGGCCCAGTGGACGTCGTCGTGGGCCTCGGCCTCGTCGTCGTCAGCGTCGTCGTCGGCCTCGTCGTCATCGGCCTCGTCGTCGTCGGCCTCGTCGCCGGCCTCGTCGTCAGCTTCGGCCTCGACGTCGTCGTCGTCGTTGTCGTCGTTCGTCGTCGTCGTCGGCCTCGTCGTCGACCTCGTCGTCGTCCTCGTCGTCGGCCTCGTCGTCTGCCTCCGCCTCGTCCTCGTCGTCGCTCGAATTCGTCGTCGTCGGCCTCGTCGTCGGCTTTGCCGACGACCTCGTCGTCGGCCTCGGCCTCGTCGTCGTCGTCGTCGTCCGTCGTCGTCGTCGTCGAGGTCGAAGTCGTCGGCCGCGTGGTCGTCGTCCTCGTAGTCGGCCTTGTCGTCGTCGGCCCAGTGGACGTCGTCGTCGTCGGTCTCGACGTCGGCCTCGTCGTCGGCCTCGTCGTCGGCCTCGTGGTCTGCCTCGTCGTCTGCGTCGGCCTCGTCATCGACGTCGTTCGTCATCGTCCTCGTCGTCCTCGTCGTCGGCCTCGCTGTCGGCCTCGTCGTCGGCGTCGTCGCCGGCCTCGTCGTCGGCCTCGTCGTCGACCTCGTCGTCGGCCTCGTCGTCGGCCTCGTCGTCGGCCTCGGCCTCGTCGTCGTCGTTCGTCGTCGTCGTCGTCGGCCTCGTGGTCGTTTTCGTCGTCGTCGTCGTCGGCCTCGGCCTCGGCCCTGTCGTCGTCGTCCTCGTCGTCGTCGCGTGCGGCCTCGTCGTCATCGTCGTCGTCGGCGGCGGCGTCGGCCTCGTCGTTCTGGTCTTCGTCCTCGCTCTCGTCCTCGTCGTCGTCGTCGTCGTCGTGGTCGTCGGCTTCGCCGTCGGCGTCGTCGCCGCCCCAGGGAGTGCCAGACCGAGACCTCCGACGAGACGAGACTTGCATCCCGGGCGGTGCCTCTTGACTTCCTGGGGACCGTCTTCCCTGACCTTCCAGCGTGCTTAAAAAATACACTCCAGACCTGTAGACCTATCTGGACTGCCTCAAACTTCGACGGGAATGAGGACGTCGACGTCCTGGTGCTGTTTTTTTTGCCCTCCTGGAAGGTCAGGGTTCTCGGGCCCGCCGGTAACCCAATTTGGCATTTTCACTCACTAAGTAGAGCGCTTCGTGGCCCCATAGGGAGCTCCACCGAAGCCCTCAGTGGGACCGTCCGCATGCGTCCCGGAAACCCAATTCGGCACACCACCCACACAGTACAGCGTTCCCCCCCGCCCAGTGCAGCGCTTCGTGGCCCCATAGGGAGCTTCACCGAAGCAGATATCCACAATTAGGGTACCCACAACTGCATACGATTGGGAGCTTCGCCAGGATAATTGTTAGCCCTCCTGGAAGGTCAGGGTTCTCGGGCCCCGGGGCGAGGGTCGGGACCTCCTGGCCCGCCGCGCGGCAGCAAAAACTCGCCCCGTCGGGCGTCTGGGAGGGGCACGCTCGCGCAGCGCAGGCTCCGGGCGAGGAGCCCTTGAGGGCGCCTCCTTGGAGCCTCTCGGGGGCCTCCCGGGGGGCCTCCCGGTAGGCTTAAGTCGGGCGTGTCCCCCTACAGGAGGATTTTCGACGAAGAATAGAACATACCCAAAGAATTGTCCAACATGTGTTTTTTATGTTTATATATACACTTTTTTAAACCAACAAAAAAGTCCCCTGGCTACTTTTTGACTATTGTCAAATATTCCTCCTGTAGAGGGACGGGCCCGACTTAACGGTGGGCCACACCCCCGCCCTCGTCAGATCTGGACGTCGTGGAAAGATCACGGCCAGCGTGTTCGCCCTGGTTCATCGGGCTGCACAGGCCTCGCGGATCCATGCGGCTCGAGACAGGCAGCAGATGTGCACGTGTTTGCCACGTGGGTCCTTCTCGCCGCTTCGCTCTTCGCTCGCTGCTCAGGCCCGGCCTGCGCGTTTGGGCTGCGCTCAGACGCCGCTCTGCCGACTGGAACTGCAGCGTTGCGCAGTACGCATCTGCTGGGCCCTACCTCTGCGGGGGTTGTGTGCTCGGTGCGGACCACACTGCTGGTTTACAGCTCACGCAAGGTCAACCTCGTGTGTGGTGCGCACTGCTGTTGGCGCCTCTTCCCGACCGGCCCATGCGGAGGATCGTACGCGACGGTTCGTTTCCACACTCGCTGCCACTGGCTGGGTGTACATTTCCGCGTCCCTCGTTGCCCCACTGTGTCGATCTCCGCTGTCCAGCAGTGGAGATCACTCAAAGCCGCTGAGCGACCTCCGCCATTCGACAGTGGAGATCGTTCAAGGTTGGCCCTGTTCAGGCCGCCAGTGGGTTTCAACTCTGAGTGCCCGCGACAGCGTCGTCGCTGCGCCAACGCGGCGCGAGCCTGCCATGCGGGCGCAAGGCCTCGAAGCAGAGACCGCGCTGGTTCAGCAGTTGGCCTCGGAATTCCGCGCGGCAGGGTCGTGTCGTGACGACACCGACGGTGATTTCCGACACCGCGTGGATCGCTCAGCCTCCAACCGTCGGCGGCTTGTCGATCGACAGATCGTTACGTACTGGCCGATTCTGGGCCACTAGCGGCGTTCAATCTTGGACGCCCGCGCTGGGGTCACGGCCGCGTCGACACGGCACGACCCAGCCGCAGGCCCTGCCTTCGGGCTGTTCCTTCAGAGGCGCTCCTCGCGAATTCAGGCGCAGCCAGGGGCCAGCAGAGGGGCTCCGCTCCCCGCGCCGAGGCCCCCTGCGGCAAGGCCCCTGGCCTCGGGAGGTCACCGAGAGCAGCCCCGCGGGCCGCAGAAGGGCCCGAGGGGGGCCGAAGCGGGGGCTCCCAGGAGAGAGACCTCGCGAGGCCAAACAAAGCCTGACAACCACGCGTGATTACCCCATGCCTCCGGCCTTCCGAGCCCTCGCGGCCCAAGATGTCTCCGGGAGGGCCAGGGAGGGCCCAGGCGCAGCGAGCCGGACCCGCCCGAGGCCGAGAAAGAGCACCAAGCCTCTGCTTCTTCTGGGCGTCTTGGGGGGGCTTCACTGGGCCTCCGGGTCTGCTTGGCTCCCCCCCCCCCGGGTGCGGCCCACCGACCACGCCGCTGGAGGCGTTGACCCCCGCCTCGGCGTAGATCTTCTCCTTCTCGGCCTCGAGGAGCCTCTGCTCCTCCGTGGCGTTGAAGCCCTGGGCCTCGGATGCGTTGTAGTGCTTGGACAGCACCACGAGCGCACTGTCCAGGGCGCTGATGCACTGGAGCATCTCCTTCTCGCTCGCCTGGAAGTGCTCCAGCTCATCCTGCCTGATGGAGGCCTGCTGCTGCAGCCCCGCCTGCTCCGTGGCGAGGTCGGTCTCCAGCTGCTGCAGCTTCACCGTCAGCTGCTGGACCTGCTGCGTGCTCACCTCGATCGCGTTTACCAGCGACTCGTCGTGTGCGAGCTCCATGGCGAGGATGGACTGTTTCTCTGGCACACTCGCCTGGCACCAGCTGTGCGCGGCCAAATAGATCTGCTCGTCGTCCGCCATGTCCGCTACCACCTCGGCCTTTATCTCCCGCAGGAACCCGGAGATCTGTGCCAGCAGCTCGTCGTCCTTCGTCCTCCTCCTCTAGAGGCCTCCCAAATGGGGTCCGAGCAGATGGGGTCGAAGGATCGCGCCGCATCGCCGATGCATCGACGACGTCGGCGATGCATCGCCGCCGTAGGCGTGGCGAAAATCGGGCTCCGCATCGAGCCGCATCGCCGATGCATCGGCGATGCCGCGCGATCCTCCGGCCCCGTCCACATAACCGCTATAGGTCTTCAGAGACCCCCCAATGGTGGAAACGAGTTATATCGTTTCGACGCCCTGGTTGATGGTCTTGGGCCCCACCAACAGTGTAAAATGAACATTCCTCCGCGGCACCCGCCGCGCAACAACGACGACGAGGAACTTGTTCGTCGGCGGTGCGGTAGAATGGCTGCACCAGCGGACGAGCTGAACGGGGACACCGAGCAGCGAACTGCCCAGCGTGCAGGGGGCGAGGAGACCGAGACAGACGGGGCGGCCGCGGAGGAGGAGGAAGGCGGGAGCACTCCGAGGCGGAAGACTCCCGACCCGAGCGACGGCGAGAAACCAGAGGGGGGCGGGGTGCAAAACGAAGGACCCCAACGGGGAGGCCTGGAGCCCCAACGGGGAGGCCTGGAGCCCCCGCCTCCCAGCGCCCGCTGGCAGGTCAAGGGGCCCCAGGGCACACCAAGAAGTACGCGCAGATCCCAGGACTCACCATAGCGTGCCATAGATCCTCTGGATTTGTGTCTCCCCCCCCTTCCCATGTTCTGAGGTCGGGCGTGTTCCCCTGCAGGCGGATATTGGACGAAAACTAAGAAATACCAAAAACACACACACACACACACACACGCACGCACGCACGCACGCACGCACGCACGCACGCACGCACGCACACACACACACACACACACACACACACACACACACAACACACACACACACACACACACAAAAAACGCTCGAAAGTACTCCAAAAAATAGATCGTCCCCAGACTTTTTGTTTGGACTATCTTTGTATATTCCTCATGTAGAGGGACGTGCCCGACTTAACCACATTTTCCAGTTTTTTCCTGCGAATGCTCATAAAGTTGGGGTTGGAGGAGGCATCCTCAATATCTTAAGTGCGGTATACACCACCTGTCCGGCCCCGCCGCCCCGGCCAAATGCCAGGGGGAAGGGGGGGGTGAAAGACCGAGCGCGGGCCAGGACGCCCGGCGACTAGGGGGGATACCCCCGGAGGGCAAAGGGGGAGGAGGGGGGCGAACATACGACTACTTGTGTCTGTGTGCTTTTTTTTTTGTTCCCCCTCCCGAGCTGGGCGCGGCGGCTCGCGACGCCCGCCAGCGCGCGCGGCACGCCCGCTGGGGGGCCCCGCGCCGAGGCCCCGCGGCCCCGCGGGCTCCTGCACCTCGCCGCCGTCGTCCTTCGCCGTCCGCGTCGCCGTCCTCCTCGCCGTCCTCCTCGCCGTCCTCGTCCTCGTCGCCGTCCTCCTCGTCGTCGTCGCCATCGTCGCCGTCGTCGTCGTCGTAGTCGTCGCCGTCGGCCTCGTCGCCGTCGCCGTCGGCCTCGTCGCCGTCGCCGCCGTCGCCGCCGCCGCCGCGCCTCGCCGAGGGCGAAGGCGCGCCGCGCGCGGCGCTCCGCGGCGGCCGCCGCGCCGCCGGCGCGGCGGGCGCCGCGGCGGCCGCCGAGCCGGCGCGGCGGGCTGCAGGAGGCTGGCGCCCAGGGCGCCAAAGTCCCTGCTGGAGCTCCTCCATCATGGTCAGCGACTCCTCACGAGAGAAGAAGAAGAAGAGGATGAAGCAGAAGAAGAAGAAGAAGAAGAAGAAGGGGAGGAGGAGGAGGAGGAGGAGGAGGAGGGAGGAGGAGGAGGAGGAGGAGGAGGGAGGAGGAGGAGGAGGAGGAGGAGGAGGAGGAGGAGGAGGGAGGAGGAGGAGGAGGAGGAGGAAGGAGGACAAATGGGAGGGGGGGGGGCCTCCTGGGGCCCTTTCTGAGCGCCTTTGAGGGACCTCCCGGGGGCGCCTCCCGGCCCCCCAAGGGGGCCTCTGCTCGTCGGAGGCCCTCCCGGGCGCCGCCCGTCCCGTGCAGCGGACTGTCGGGAGCAAAGACGGCATGTGACAGCTCCCGGGGCGGCGGGCAAAGCGCGAGCGCCGCCACACGCCTGGAGTCGAGTTCAAGAGCACGCGGGGCACATCGTCAGCGACTCCTCGGAGCGTCGGCTGCAGATCGGGCCCGTGGCCAGAGGAGCAGCCTTCGAGAACATGAGGCCCCCCCCGTCGGCCAGAGCAGACGGAGCAGCCGAGGGTACCCTCCCCCGGGAGGCACAAAAGCATCCGACAAGCACGAAGAACACGAGGGTGCCCTCCCCGAAACGACCTCGACCTCATACCTCGGTCCGACTGTGACCGATCCCGATCCACACCAGCGTGGCCTGGGCCCCACTGGCCGATATGGCCCCCCTGGATGGGGACAGTGGGCTGTTCCCTTCGGGTCTCGACGGGCCTGTCCCAAACTGGGGTGGCGGGGCGGTGGAACTGAGACACCGTGGTCCGGTGGGGATGGGGAGATATCAAACGATACGGGTCCTTGAGGGCGTCGATCTCGGCCTGCTTCTTCGCAAGCCTCTCCTCGCGCGTCTCCGTGTTCAGGCAGGGGGGCTTCAGCTGCTCGTAGACGGCGTTGGCGTCCACGAGCTCCTGCGAAGAGGCGTTCAGGCTCTGGTTCGCCAGCGGCAGCTCGACCTCGTAGCGCGCCTTCTCCTCCGCCTTGTACTGCATGTCCTTTTCGACGGACGCGATCATCACGTCGATCTCCAATAGGGTCTGGTTGTGCAGCTGAATGGCTGCCGCCCTCTCCTTCTCCGCCTCCTCCTCCGCGTGCACATAGCCCTCGTGGACTGCCTCCAGCATCGAGACCACCATGCCGATACCGCCCGACTGCGTCCCCGCGACCGTGCTCTCGGGAACCAGCAGTGGAGCCTGGGCGGCAACGTGGCGCTGGCCGCTGGCGTTCGCCGCGGCGCGCCGCCCCAGCAGGCTCTGCGCTGGTCCCCCCTGCGTCCGCCGCGGCCGCCCGAGCCTTGCCACGCGGCGCCCTGGGCGCCCAGGGCTCAGCGACGTGCGGCGCTGACCGAGCCCCAGCGCCTTCGACACGTTGGCCATATACTCTCGCAGGATCGCGGCTGCTGCCAGCGTGGCCGCGGCCGACGCTTCCGCGTCCTGGATCGAGGACTCGATCTGAGCAAGGCTGGAGGCGTGCTGCTGCACGCTGGCATTGCGGTCGGTCTGAGCGGTAAGCAGCGTCGCGTTGAGCCCGGACACCTCGACTTCCAGCGAGGCGATGCTGCTCTCCAGCTGCTGCACCTTGGCGGAGTGCTTCAGGACGTCCGCCTGCGCCGACCCCTGCGCGGCCGTGGCCTTCTCCAGCTCACCGTCGCACCAGGCCTTGTGCGAGGCCTCCTCGTTGGCCTCCAGTCGGAGCTTCTCGATGAGCTCCGCTATCATCGTCTTCACCTTCGCGAGGAAGCACTAAGCATATCAAGACTCATCCTCCTCCTCTGCATCCGGCTCATCCTCCTCCTCCTCCTCCTCCTCCTCCTCCTCCTCCTCCTCCTCCTCATCATCATCATCATCATCATCATCATCATCATCATCATCATCATCATCAGCACAAGCATCATCATCATCATCATCATCTCATCATCATCATCATCATCATCATCATCATCATCATCATCATCATCATCATCATCATCATCATCATCATCATCATCATCATCATCATCATCATCATCATCATCATCATCATCATCATCATCATCATCATCATCATCATCATCATCATCATCATCATCATCATCCTCAGCATCAGCATCAGCATCATAATCATCATCAGCATCATCATCATCATCATCATCAGTATCATAATCAGCATCATTATCATTATGATCGTCCTCATCATCATCGTCATAAAAGTACTCATAGGAATACAAATACTAAAAATACTATTAAAACACTTAAAAACTAATAACGATAATGATACATATCAGTATCATCGTCAGCATCATCATCAGCATCGTCATCATCCTGAGCAGCAGCATCACCATCATCAACAACTAATTCAACTTCATCCTTTTCATCATCATCATCATCAGCATCATCATCGTCGTCGTCGTCATCATCAGCATCAGCATCAGCATCATCGTCATTATCGTCATCAGCCTCATCATCGTCATCATCAGCATCATCATCACCACCATAACCATCATCACCATCATCATCAGCATCATCAGAATCATCGTCAGCACCATCATCATCGTCCTCATCATCATCATCATCATCACCATCATCAGCATCGTGATCACAATCACCACTATAACTACCACCACAACCATCAGCATCATCATCAGCATCATCATCAGCATTATCATCAGCAGCATAATCGTCATCATCATCGCCATCATCGTCGTCAACATCAGCAGCAGCATCATCATAATGATCGTGATCATCGTCATCATCAGCAGCATCACCATCCGCATCAGAATCATCCATCACCATCAGCAGCATCACCATAGCATAATCATTATCAGTATCATCGTCGTCGAACATCAATCATCGCCGTCATCATCGAAATCCTCACCATCATTATCACCACCCTCCCCATCATCCTCCACCTCATTATCAGTATCATCGTCATCAGCATCAGCATCATCGTCATCAGCCGCATCATCAAACATCAATCGTCGTGGTCATCCTCAGAATGATCATCACCACCGCAATCATCACCACCACCGTCACCATCATTATCATCACCAGCGAATCGTTAGCAGTGTCATCATCAACATCATCATCACCACCACCGCCACCACCATCATCATCATCATCATCATCATCAGGCTCAACACCATCACCATCACCATTAGCATCATCCTCATCATCATCATCATCATCATCATCAACATCATCATCATCACCATCATCATCAGCCTCAACACCATCACCATCACCATTATCATCATCATCATCATCATCATCATCATCATCATCATCATCATCATCATCATCATCATCATCATCATCATCACCATCACCATCACCATCACCATCACCAATACCATCACCATCACCACCAAAATCATCATCGTCATCTCCACCATCGTCATCGTCATCGTCATCGTCTTGGTCTCCACCTTCGCGAGAGGGTCGTCCGCGCGCCCCGCGGCCCCCCGCGCACCCGCCGCGGCCGAGCCGCCGAGCGCCCCGAGCTGCCTCACGAGGCCCCCCAGGGACGCGCTGTGCAGCCGGCCGGCCGCCTAGGAGGGGCAACGATACAGTCGGGGCGTTGACCTAAGGAACCCTAAATAAGGGACGAGGCCCCTTTTTTCCGTAAGTTGACCTTCGACTTCCGATCGAAAACATAAGGAAAACCTGAGGCAAGCTGCGAAACATTTAAGGAACGCGGAGCCCCTCCCCAACAAAAAGGGTTCCTTCTTCAGGGCCCCGACTGTAGGGTCAAACCCGATTCGGGCGTTGGCAGAACTGGGTTTCGTGGGACCTGGTTTAGAGTGTTACTGGCCTCGAACTGATCCCCATCCCTAAGCTTGACACGCCAAATGGCGATGACAATCTTAGAGATTCGCCCTCAAGAAATAAGGGATTCCCTGAGATTGGCATCGTGATGAGGAGATGCCCAGCATAGGGATAGGGATATGTTCCAAACAAACAATAATGATCTGTACCGGGGACGCCCCCCCCGTCCCATTCCGCTAACAAGAGTTGCCGTCACCCGAAAAATTAGCCTGGCGAAGGACCCAACCATATGCAGTTGTGAATGCCGCAATTGTGCTGGGTGGTGGCGGACGCATGCGGGCGGTGCCACTGGGACCTTCGGTGGAGCTCCCTATGGGGCCACGAAACGCTGTACTGGGTGGGTGAGACGCGGTCAGCAAGGGCTGTGCTGCGTGGTGGCGGACGCATGCGAGCGGTGCCACTGGGACCTTCGGTGGAGCTCCCTATGGGGCCACGAAACGCTGTACTGGGTGGGTGAAACGCAGGCAGGGAGCAAGGGCTGTGCAGGGTGGTGGCGGACGCATGCGGGCGGTGCCGCTGGGACCTTTGGTGGAGCTCCCTATAGGGCTACGAAGCGCTGTTCTGGGTGGGTGAAGCGCAGGGAACAAGGGCTGTGCTGGGTGGTGGCGGACGCAAGCGGGCAGTGCCACTGGGACCTTTGGTGGAGCCCCCTATGGGGCCACGAAACGTGCGAGGGGTGTGCCAGAATGGGGTGTGGAACCGCATGCCAGCGCAGCCACTGGGGCCTTCGGTGGAGCTCCCTAGGAGCCACGAAACGTGTGAGG